GATCATCACATTTTACGTTTTCCGATTGGCCATTTCCTTTTTAGAGGTTTGTATTACCGGCACAAATAAGTGGATGCGAGTACAAATTGGGTGTATGAGACGGAACAAGCTTAGTGATGTAGATGTGAGTTTGATATGCGCTTATAAATGATCGGGTCGGGTTCAAAACCCGACCAGTGATAAAAAATTTTTTCGGGTCCGGATCGGGCTTATGATAAACAAACCCCTAGCAACCAGTAATTAAAAATTTGAAACTAAATAAAATTTTACTTTTCTGTTTCTTCCAGTAAATTACCTAGCTCTCTGGAGACTACATCGCTATTTTCGAACCTTCAGTCCGGAGACAGCGATATAGTTTCCTGAGAGTTAGGTAATTTACCGGACGAAATAGAAAAGATTCCGGGAAACGAGAAAATTTTTAGGTGTCCCAGAGTTTATGAAAACAGCTGTAATTGAAAATTTTTTTTAAAAAAGTATTTTTTTTTTTTTTTTTTGTTTAAAAAATGAGGTTTGTTAAGCAATTAAGTAAATTGTCTAAAGAAGTTAGTATGTAAAATATTGAGGAGATGCAGTTTTAAAATTAACATCTTATAAAAATACTATTAAAATTTCAAAATTTCTCAATACTGTAGTTTACATATTAACTTCTATAAAATTTTTACTTAATTGTTTAGCAAATCCTATATTTTAAACTAAAAGAGCGCTTTTTTTTAAAAAAAAAAATATTAAGTTTGTAATAAATTTGATTGAAATTTAGGTTTTTTAATATAAACTATCGTCTTCATTATATAAAAAATTTACTATGTATATTTGATCTATATATTATCATAGCCAATAACAATAAGTATTGAAAAATTATTGAATGCTGCCTAACTAATTTTATCTATAACATCAATAATAATAGCGCATACGCTGTTATGAGTTATACTAAAAATTTTTATTAACTTACGGAGTCCTGTGGGAATTTAAAAAATTGAATGTGCGTTGGTTACGAACGACTAGGGATGTTAAAAGTTCGGTTCGGTTCGACTCGACTCCAAAAGTCGAGTCTTTATTAAAGTTCGGTTCCAAGTCGGACTTGGAACTCGACTCGCAGTTCATGTGCATCTTGAACATTTAAATATAGCCGAAAAAAAACGATATTCATGTGTACTTTGCATATACATTCTTTTTTAGCGCTATATTTCAGTATTTAAATATACAAGTTGCACGTGAAATACGAGTCGAGTTCCAAGTCAGGCTTGGAACCGAACTTTAATTAAGACTCGACTTTTGGAGTCGAGTCGAACCGAGTCGAACTTTTAACATCCCTACGAATGATCAATATCGATTACTCTACAATGACAAGTTTAAAATAATTATCAATTACCTATTGAATATAGCGAATCAACACATATATGTATGTATCTGTTATGCAATAGTGTGATACGAGATTTGCTAAACTTGATAATGCTACATTTACACGAGATTTCAACTCTAGTTGCTATCTTGCATTAGAATAATTGGTATGACCTCCGAAGAGATAATTCAACGAAAAGCTTTGGGAAAAGCTGCTGAAATTGGATTTCTCTACGATGCTACGAGAGATATTTTTTGTGGATCTTCTATATTTAAAACAGAACCACCATCTAATATTATAAGAACACTAGATACTCCTCATACGGACCTAAAGTATGAATATGAAGATTCATACAAAGAAAAATTTAGTATGTTAGATGTTGAAGCTCAATTAAAAATAAGTGTTCTTTCGGGCTTATCTCCTTTGGAGGGATCGGGAAAGTATCTGGGAGATATGAAAAATGAATCTAAATCTGTAAAAGGTTCTTTAATGTATAAATTGATATCAGTAGAAGAAAATTTGAATATTAATCATGATGATATTATTACGTATATTTCCGAGAACACACTTAATGTACCAGGTGCTACACATGTTGTTACAGGAATTAAATGGGGAAGCACTGTGATTGCATCATTTGAATATGGAAAAACAAACGAAAAAGATATGTCACAAGTCAAAGGAGTTCTTAAGGCTAACCTTGAAATGCTTTCGCCATATATTCCTATCCCTCAAGGGACCGGAGATGTTCATAATGTTAAAAAAGAACAAACTGATATTAAGGATCGATTTTCTATAAAAATTTTTGGAGATATTATTCCTGATGATAAAGTCCTTCCTCAATCCTTTGATGAAGCAAAAAAAATAATGGCCGAATTACCATCATATGCTAAAAAATATAATCACGGAAAAGGTGTTCCGGTTGAACTTAAACTTTATCCATTGTCTAAACTTGCAAAGCAGCTTAAGCAAGATATCACTATTAGTTGTATGATAACAGAATTGAATGAAGAAACAATTTTAAAAGTAGAACAAGTTTTTGATAATTTTTTAAAATCTATATAATGATGCGCAAATTATCTCTGATTATATACAATACGAGACTTTTGATGAAATTGAAAACCATGTGCAGCATGTTGAAATAGAGGAGACAATTATCAGAAAAGAACTTGCAGATTGTCTTGTTGAAGTACGTTCTGGTAAATGTAACATTAATGAGATTGAGAAAAAAATATCTAAATTTCAGGAAAGCATTTTATCCAAAGAATCTATTTCTGCATTTATTAAAAAATACAAAAATGTACAAGAAAAAGTCAACTTAATCTTCAATTTGAAGACAAAAAATGTAGAGTACGTTAAAAAAGACGCAACAATTGACTACATTATACAGATGTATCAGGACTACGAAGTCTACATTCTTCTTGATAATGATGAATATATTGTTGGTGGTAATTCATCACCAGAATATACTAAATTTCAAGACTTATTTAAAAATTCAAATGATATTTCTTGCAAATTTTTAATAGCAGAGCTTAAAATATGTACGAGAATAAAAGGGCCTGGTTATCCAATTATTCATCATTACATCAAGGGAAAGCCAGCACATGATAGCTATAGTTTTGTTGATGAGGAAATAACCATATTGTTGCTTGGTGAAGTCGGAGTAGGGAAATCTACATTTATTAATGCTTTTGCGAATTATTTTACATTTGATTCGTTAGATGATGCAAAGTCTAAAGAAAGAATTTTGATTCCGTCTGAATTCATAATAACAGACAGCCATGACAAAAAAGCTAAATTCATAAAAATAGGTGAAAATGATCAGAACGAACAATTTAAAAACAAAGAAATATCAGCTACTAAGAGTTGTAAAAGTTACGTGTTCCATGCGGCTAATAAAGTAATAAGATTGATAGATACTCCTGGTATACATCAAGATGCAGAGAATTTTGAATTTGAAAATATCTTGGCACATATTTCCCATTTTCAATACTTAAATGGAATCTGCATCCTTCTTAAATCAAACAATAGCGAACTGACTTTAACATTAAATACTGTACTTTTGATACTTTCACATTTTTCGAGAAGTGCAAAGGACAATATTGTTTTTTGCTTTACTAATTCTAGAGAATCGTCATACCATCCAGGGAATACATTACCACCACTTAAAAAGGAACTTAACAGTCTTTTTCATAAATCTGGTATTGAAATCAAGGCTCAAAAAGATACAATCTATTGTTTTGATAATGAAGCTTTTAGATTTCTAGCAGCAGCTAAAGAAAATATATCTTTTAATGATGAAGAAAATTTTGCGATTAGTTGGAAAAATTCAGTACGTGAATCCATTCGACTTGCACAATTTTTTACAAGTCGTCCACCCCACAAAGTCGAAGAGACACTATCATTTAACGAAGTAAAATGTATTATTGAGCAAGTCTCGAGTATCGAAGAAAATTCAGTGCAATTCAAACAATCGAGTATCGAAGAAAATTCAGTTAAAAATGTAAATTTAAAAATTAAAAGTGATAAAATGCAAATGTGTACATTTATCGATGTGACTGTCATTAGTTCGATTATCTTTATACTTGGCATTGTCTGGAAAGTAACTGAAGATAAAAAAGATCACTACTTATTTATGTCCAATCACTACTTATTTATGTTAACGCTCAGGATCAATCGAACAATTTCACACCTAGAAAAGCTAGAAAATTTCTTTGAAAAAAAGACTATTGGGGAATCTAATAAGTGGGATGCAGAAAATCTTAAAATATTAGATGACGTTGCCAAGAAGCTTCACGAAATTACGATTAATAATTATTCAATAACAACAGAAACTTTTTGGTTCTTGATTTTTTTTAGTGTTTTCGTGCTCGGGTTATTTTGGTTCTTGGCTAAAGATAATATATATATATTCCATGAAACGCCAAAGAAAGAAATATTCCAAAAAACGCCAGAGAAAGAAATGATTAAGATTGAAGAAATGTTAGATTTATTTTTAAACCAAAATTCAATAGTATCTATGAATGAAAATTCAGAATTAAAATGCTCAGAAACGTTTGATAAAAAAGGTTCTAATATTTTACCTTCATTAAATGACATAGATGAGCTTGAAGAAATGTTGAATAATCTCAAACAAAAAAACGAACAACAAAAACAAAGAATTTTAGCCTTAGAAGCCGACGAAACCGACCTAATCAAACAACTAACTCAACAATTTACGTTTAGATATTTAGAAAATCATTATGAGCTTCCTGAAGATAATATTGCATTAAAATCCCTATTATTCAACAAGTAAGATTAGTAAAAAACAATTTCTGATGTAAAATGTTGTTGTTTTTATAAATATATATAAGAACCTTTTTAGATTATAACAAATATAGAATATGTTTTCTAGTTACAGTACTTATTGGTAAAATAAATTAACATAAATTTTATTCAATTTTATATATAAATTGGGTTTTTGAAAAATTTGGTAATGCAAAATGAAAAAACAAAAATTGCAATGATTGTTAATTAGCCCCAGGGAGACCGTCCCAAATTAGGAAATCATCGGGAAAACGTTACACAATTCATTAAAGATTATTTATACAGTTTACAATACTTTTTCGTGAAACTATCGTGGCTTATTTGCATTATGAAACATGACTTAAGTTATTAAGCAAACTTGTAGCTTTCGTATTGTGCTTTAAGAAAGTCGTTTGATTCATGTTGATTCACCGGATATTTATATTTGATTTATCTAATATATTACTAATTATCTAATATGTAAATAATAATATAAATATCTGGTGAATCAACTTGAATCAAACAACTTTTTTAAAGCACAATATAAAAGCTACAAGTTTGCTTAATAACTTAAGTCATGTTTCATAATGCAAATAAGCCATGATGGTTTTACGAAAAAGTATTGTAAACTGTATAAATAATCTTTAATAAATTGTGTAACGTTTTTCTGATGATTTCCTAATTTGGGACAGTCTCCCCTGGAGTGTTACCCTGGTAGATCCAACCCATGTCGGAATTATATTATCACGAGAATGTTAGTCATGAGTTTGCTACACCGAATATACTGAATATGCCGAATGAGCTACATGTGCCCATTGTGCCGTATGTCCCCGATATAGCTCAAGGGAATAGATCAAGGGATATAGGAGGTATTAATGGTATTAGGAGGTATTAATGGTATTAGGGATATTAAGGACATTTATAATGGTTAGGACGTTTATAGCTCAAAGGCCATATATAATTAATAGTAGTTATTTTATTATATAAACGAGCAAGTTTCGCTCCACTTTGTAGGCATGCTTGCCATAGCATTTGATAATATACTATATAATACTTAATAAAGGACACTTTCTTTATTTGATTCTGAAAATACATACACGTATTCTTTCGTATAGCCCAAATCATACAATTATACTAAACTCTCTCGTTAAAATACATACGACTTTAACAAACCACTATATGGTTTTCGTGTCCTTATGTTCACGTGACTCCTTGTTATTAGTCGAACCGTTAACCTCGCTTTGAGAGGTAACACGCAGGTTAATACTGGTTATTAAAATACCTCATACACCAAAATTCCAGGTTAGGATACATCGGAACCCTGATCGGATGGGCCGGAATCGATCAAGATCACTAAGAATTTTACTAATGCAGTAATGAAAAAGTGCCCAGCTGTAGAGATTCGATCCTATCTTTGACAGGCCATCCGGATTCTATTAAATCTGGATTGAATCCGTGTTAGATTAGATATAAAGCTAGCTTTGAGAACATCCTTATGTCTGTTATTTAAGTTCTTTGACAAATCTGAATAAAAATTTCTGATCTGGATATTTAAATTTATCTATATTTAAAGATCAATTCAGATGGTCAGATTACAGATCGATTCACTACCCAGCTGATAATTTTACTATAGTTTTTGCTAACTAGTATAGTTAATTCTAATCCCGATGCATTTCAGCCATTCTAACCCAAAAATTTAAGGATCTTTCTGTAAAAAAATCTAAAAAATCTCAAGCCGAATATTGCTAGGCCTCTTATGAGCCAGCCCATAAGTTTTTTTTTGAAGCTAATTTGAGCCATCCTTCAAAGTGCTGGTCACATGGCGAATAATCATATAACTAGCACTTTGGGACATTAACTTCAGAAAAAGCCCATGGGCTGGTCCATGTAGAGCCTAATTGCAGTGTTGTTCACTAGAACGTTCCAGTAGGAATTACTAGAGCTGGGAGATCACTGAACTTAACTAGATAGAATTGGAGGCATAAGAGCTTTCAGTGATCGAATATCACTGGACCATTCCATGAAGATTTTTATCACTGGAATAGAAGTTCCAGTGACTTCCATTGAATTCTGGTTGGCCGATTCAAATCAATCACCAAGAATAGTGAGCAGAGCAATAGGAGGAAACGTCGAACGTCACAAAATCATTACACAATTAATAAAAAATTTTTTTATATTATTTTACAATACTTTTTTGGAAGGCTCATTTGACTTATCTTTTCTATGAATATTGAAAATGTTTAAACAAACATAAAGCTCTCACTTTGCTTTACAACATATTTTTAGAATCCCCTTGAATCCCATGGTTTCATCTTTTTGTAAATTTCACAATTTGATTGGTTGACTAATCCCATAGTGATATTTTGACTGGTCAATACAATGAGTGATCTGTATAATGGAGAATGAAAATCATATTTATATTTGGACGTTTCCTCCTGTTGAGCAGAGCATAAAATTTAAGCTCTAAGTACCTATCCGTTTATACGAATATTACCAGGTTACAAACAGATTCATTTTTAATAACCAGAGTAACTTGGCATAGAGATACGAACAAAGAAAAAATCATTATGATAGAATCTTGAATTAGTATTAATTAGTGCATTGAATAGCTTTGGAAGCTCAGACTAATTTGATTGGCCAATAGTTCCATTTAGATTAGCCAATCAGATGAATACATTCCAATGAGCAAGTACTTGGGGTTCTAGTCTTTCAGTAATGGAATACCAATAATTACTTTGTAGATATCATATTTTACTAACATTTACTTACTAACATTTACTTACTAACAAGTTTTTTTTTTTTAATTTGGCAGTCTTGCCTTTACTGTTTATTAGTACTCTAAGGTATTGTAGTTACAAATATATATATATATATATTTACAACTATCTAATTTATTATAGATAAGGCTCACTCGGTTGCTAACTTAGTACCTATGTGCGACTTGCTATATGAGATTTTACCTTCTTAATAACCGCCTCTTTTGACCAGACCAATTATTAAATTACCAGATAGTTTCCAAACCTATATTATCATATATATCCCGCTTATATACTACTATACAACGTCTACTAGCCAACTTCTACCTCTCAGTACTTATCACATTACTTCTAATTCATTTCTTGTACCACTTTTAAATTGGTGTCTCTCGAGTGAGCGCCCTTAATGCTTCCAGTTTGGTGTCTTTAAAGAAGTTACTTTATGGGCCTAGCTGTATATCAAACAGTTAAGTTGCCAAACTAGGATATTATTTCACGTCGATCCAGGTATTCGCATCATATACCACCAAATTAGGCTACTAATCTTTCTATAGTACTCCCTAGGGGGCATTCATATATAACATTATGTACCCCTATATACCCCCCCTAGACTATATAAAAAATTTTTAAAAATCCATATGTTTATATATAAAATTTTACAAAAACTTGGATATATTATGACTCAGTGATCCAATTAGGATGATTTTGGTACCATTCGATTCGTCTCTGTGAAACGAATCAAATGGTACAAAAATCATTTTATTTGGACCACTGGATAACGTTTTATTAACGAAATACTGTTGATTTTATAGTAATTTTATAAGAACACATAATAACCAATAGTATTTCATTAATAAAACATGATCCAGTGATCCAAATCATATAAAATTAGTACCATCCGACTCCTCTCATCGAGAGGATTCGGATGGTACCAAAAGCATCCAATTTTGGACCACTGGATCAAATTTTAGACAAATTCTTATAAAAAAATTGTGTTATATTTTGGGAGATCCTCTCTAAATATTGAAAAATTGTTATATTTTGGGGGACCCCTCCCCCCCAAACATAACATTATTTATGGATACCTCCTAATTCTTGATACATCAAACAGAATTCTATTAAATGCACTTTGTCTGATTGAAATTTCAGTTATTATAACTCCTAGACTGTAAATATCTAATGCTTGAGTGTACGGTTGACCCAAAATCTTAGGTGCTATTCATGGCAGAATTTTTTTTTTTTTACTTTTTAGAAAGTTCAAAATCCGAGATATATATGTTTGCAAAGTACCTTGCAAAATATTTGCTATATAAATCTCTGTGAACAAGTTCTAGTGAAGAATCGACTCAAGTTCTAAAGTTATATAGTGCAAGAGAGTCTATTTATTTTTCCATTTTAATTGTGATACTTGTATAGGATTTGTTGTAATGAACTTTTTAATAATCACCATGATTATTTCTTGATACTTCTTAAAAGAGAAGATATTGCCAATTAAAAAAATACACAAACCTAAAACTGGTATATGATTTGTCACACTCATTACAATATATATTGACTATAGGCCAAAGCTATTATAAAACGCTTACTAATCTATATACTAACAATAATCCTAAAAACGGTTATATAACAAAGACCATTAAATCATGAGAGCAAAATTTTGGCAAAGTAGAAGTTTACATGAAGAAAAGAAATAAAGTGAAAATATTACTTGCCTGACATTAGAACAGAACAACATCACGACAAATTAGTCATTTTGGAAGCTTGGTTAATGTTAATATGTCTTGTAATAGAAGCTATAAATGATTTGCTTACTATAGTATAATGCTGCATTGTTCAGATCTTACCATATATATATTTTTTTTCTGGTAAGTTTCTACTTTTGATTCTACTTCTAAATAAAATTATATAAAAAAAAAATCACCCTCATGAAGTTTGAAAATAAAAATAAGGTTGAAATCAAATAATATATATTTAAAATACTTATAAAGTGTATATACTAGTAGCATAGTAAATGTCATATATCGAAAAATATTTTTTAGTGCTATTCTGTGCAGATTTGCAAAAAAATTAAATAATAAATTAAATAAAAATCAGCACAAAACTTAAGACTCACCAGCTATAGCTACAGAAATTAAATAACAGTTCTGCGCAAAATTTCAAAATATAAAAA